ATGTTGTATAAAATTAGAAACGTCCACAACACCCACTATAAAAAGATACGACTCTTCGTAAATTTATAAGATAGAAACCATTCTTGTAAAAAAGTATAACTCTTGGCAAGTATATAAAAGAAAAAAATTATTTCTGTTAACTTAAGAAGACAAATAACATTTAAAAATATATATATTATCATTCTCCCTCTAATGTTAAGTTAAACCATCAACAAACTTGGATTTTGGGGTATGAACATTACCTGGAACTCTTGTAGCATTCGGGAGAAAACAAAATGTATCAACAATTGTTCTTTGTTGGCAGAAAAACAAACATCTTATTCTATTGCTTCCGCATTAAAGTTAGTCCTAATTTTCTAACAGCAATAAATGAGATGAGTTGTCCATGTCATGTATATTTTAAAATGTTAACGTGGCATCCAATATGACTTGTCTACATCATGTTCATTTCAAATTTACTTATATAGTTTCCACGTTGATGCTTATGTGGTGTCTACATCGGTTCCGCATGTATGCCACGTCAGCAAATTTTTTAACCCCATTTCATCCCATCCAAGCAAACATGTTATTCTTACCTCTTCTTCTTCTATCTCATTCATGTTCTTCGTCTTTATCCGCCATACTCTTTACTAGTCTCGGTCGTACCTGGTTCCTTCCATATTAAAGGAAAATTCTTTGTTTACCACATCTCCAAAATTGTTATTCGTCTCTTCTTCTTTCTTTGTAACTATATATACATACAATTTATATTTATATATATTGCATATCATTCTCTCCCACTAATACCTTCAGATCACTAAAATTTATAACTAAACTAGACACATAAGAACGCTACAGAATATGTTCCACCTTCTTTAGCTTCAAATCCATATTTCATTATTAGATTCAATAATGTCATTTTTTATGATTATTATGCTCAGAAAACAAAGCTCTTAAGGTAAACATTCGTTTTGCCTCTCTGTATATAATCATTGAAGCTTTTTAAAACATTGCTAGCAGAAATTCCAACAAGTAACAAGTTTCTCTTATCCTTTTTTGCTAACAATTTAATGATTTTCCCTAGTTATCATTAAAATTTTTAGAGCCTAAGTAAGGAAGCCCAAACCTCTCCAATCTAAGTTGAAATTTATAAGCTACGTAGGAAAATGGGTGGACATAGGTTTTACGAGAATCGAGGAAAAAGTTGGATCCTAACGGATGAAGTATAATCACTTTATCTTACAGCTCTTGATCCCAATTTCCTAAAAAAAAAAAAAATTCATAATCGAATCAACAAAAAACAAAAGAATGAAATATTTGAGAAGTGACAACGAATATACAACTCCATTACCTTTCCTAAATATCAGCAATCTAAAACAACCCCAAGATTGACTATACAACTCTAGGTTAACATGAAAGATATGCCAACTTCTTTATGATTATGGGTATGTGATCTTTTTTAATTTGTTGAGTTTTTGATTAATTTTGGAGTGAATATTTGAGGATTTGAAATTAGTGGAATAAGTGGATTAAGTTGGAGAAAATGAGGGTGCCGTTGATTTTCTTGTTGATAGCTCAAGCACAAGAAACAACGTGAACTTTATTGGAGGAGACGAGGGTGAGAACCTCGACAATGATGGGGATAAAGTTGACGAGTAAAAAGGGAATAAAAAAGTTGTTCGACATTTTACTTGGATGTCAATTATTTAATTTGAAATCGTCATGATATGACTTGTCCATATTACGTGTTTCATTAGCACTAGACGTTGTTAGAGAAAATCAATAAAAATAGATAATTTTATCACATTTTTTTAAGTTTATGAAGAATTTTGAACAAAAAGAATACTTGAAGGAGAATTTTGAATATTTTTGTATAGTTCAAGGAGTATTTTTATATTTTGGTCAAATTTTTTCTACTAAATTTATATAATTACCTATATATATTTTGAACATTTTCACTTTTATTGGTTTTCTCTTAGAATATGATATTCAATAAATGATTTTTTTCTTATTATATGGCCCATTATTTTTGTTTTCCATCAATT